GGGGGGGGGGGGGGGGGGGGGGGGAATTGAGCCAAATGGAGTTCACGCGGAAATTAGTCTAACTTTTTACAATTGAATATGGGTTTATCATAGACTGATGAAGCTTTACTGTCGATGTATACTCAATCTGACCTCACTGAACGACTCAGGAAGAATCATACATGAGCTGCGTGCGGCGTTGGAGCCCAAGTAATCGGAAACTTGACCTCGGCCGAGTTACTTTCCTGCCAAGTTACCTTCCGTTCGTTCGTATTTTCCAGTCAGGCAGCCTTAAAGTCACTGTCGCTCGTTTTTATTTTGTTCTTCTCGAAGTAAGATATTATATCATGGGATTCGTTGCCGGAGTTCCAGACTTTTTCAGAGGTATTGTACAGTACTTTACGAAAATGCAAATCAACAGCGGATGCATTATCATCTCGAGTACTAGTGTGTATCGATCCAGGTGAAATACAGTAATTTAGATATTTTTAGTTGCGGGACAGTTTTTCTATCCAGAAAATGAGCATAAATTAGATAGGGTCAATTAGTCTTTGTGTCCATGTCTAACTTATCGTATCCCTGGTAATACAATATCAGCGGTATCATAGAAGAATAATACTGTACAGTATTTTAAAGATATTTAGTCCATTTCGGGATTTTTTGGTGGGTCATTGTCCAGGTGTCAGGGTGGAATTTTTAGATTTAAAATTTCTTTAAAAGTAAACTTTTTCACATGTTGGGGCGTTCATATGTTGGGGATTTTAATAACATGTTTTTCTTATAAATGACCACGTTTAAATTCAGATGAAGCCATAAAATCAACGCGGGAAGTTTCATTGAAAACACAAATTTTAAACTATTTTTCAAAGTGATGCCCTGAATCATCCCGAAGATTTCACTGTTCATGGATTTATCATATTTATCTCGTAGAATAAGTATACCGGATCCTCTTTTTGTTGCCTTCCAGGATAATTTTCGAGTGTCTGAGGATACTCAGACACTCGAAACTTGCAATGCAGACTGACAGCCTATCCTAAACTGCTGAGTACTTGGGCAAATATACGTCTGCAGATCAGTCATTCCATTGAACGTCATCTTACTCATTGAAGGTAAAAACAGACTGTATTGGTCTCATTTTTTTCAATAAGTCAGGCAATAACCGAAGTGAGTCGAGGCTGATTCTTATCAATCCGAGATGATCAATGGCTGTTATCTGTAGCACGCTGCTCCACGCTCTTGGTAAAATGGAAGAATCGATCTCAATTATTCTTCGTGGGAAAGTCGGAAGTGGATCGCATGTTTGCGTGGGTGGGGATGCGGACAAAACCGAGGAAAACGGAAAGAAAAAAGACGGGACGCGTCGCTCAACATTGGAAGGCAAAGGGAAATTCAATTTACGTCCAAGTTGAGCCACAGAGATGAAGATCCGCGACTATATTCCTCTCTACCGACCCATCGTGAAATATAAATTTTGCAGGCGGAGGATGTGTCTTTTGCCTCCGCTTCAGGATTAGTTGCAAATGGGGGGATTTCAGCTCTCTCCTCGATTCCAGCGCGATCAAGCAGAAAACCACTTCGCACGGATCCCTGTCAAATTTTCCGCTATCGAGTGCAAAAACGAACGGCAGTTACCCGGCAGAAAGGAGAAGCCTCAGCTGAGTGCTTTCAGATTAGCTTAACGTTTTATTAGAATAAAAATAGCATGAATGAGGCTAAGCCATCTGTGTTCTACGGACGCACTTCAAACCAACTGGGGTATGCATCCCATCTGAAATAAAATTTGATGAAACTTTCTGTGTATGAACACCGTCACCCTGAATAAGACGTGTGCAAGTTCTCTCTAAAATTCAATGAAGCTGAACATGACACTAGAAAATTGTCGAGACATTTGCATCATCGCAGTGAATATCTGAATTTTCTACAGCGCTTTTATTCTGTTTTCTGGCAAGGAAAAGTAATAAATTCCCGGTGTGGGTACGGGACAACCCGAAGATATATTATTAGAGAAGTCAAAGTGGCAACTCAGCAAGGTGAACATTGAGCAATGTTTATTGTTTTAAACATTTGAAAACTAATTCATGTATGTCATACTTACTCGAAAAAGTGTATCTTAGCTTTTAGAAAAGAACGGCTTTTTACCCAACTCCTGATTCAGGAACAGATAAATTCTGACTTGTTATCAACCCGAATTTGATAACGAAGTTAATTACTGTACTTATTAAGCGTCGGTTCTCGTCTTCGGTATAGAAAATATAACCTCATTTCCTGTTTTTTTTTACAAGCTCAGAATTTCTTGAGTTTCACGTCACAGAATCGGGGGAATGCCGCTTCAGTTCCGTTTCTGTGATTTTAAAACGGATCCCCAGTTCGAAGAGCACCCGAACTGCACAGCAGCTGCGAGTGACCCGGAAAATGAGCATTCTTCCCGTCGCGATGAACTGATGAATACGC